TAAATTTTAGAGATATTAGAAGGAAAGGAACAAAGTTCTACTTCATTAAAATAACGGAACCTAAAAATTTAGAAACAGAGCCTAAAAAATTCAGGAGGAGAAAATTGATCAAGCTTTTGAGAGAAGAAAAATGAATGTAAAGAAAATTCATAGGAATTAAAAATTAGTTATACCTGCTGGTCTGAAATTGTGCTTCCTCAATTCAATGGTTTTGTTGAGAAGATAGAAAATGAAGACGGCAGAATACGCAATAGATTTTACAAAAATTATGCAATCCCCAGAAGGTGTACGGGTTTTTGGCTAAGACAGGCGGGACTATTAATGGTGGCTGTTAACAAGTTTACAATGATACAATTAACAAGGATTCGTGGAAAGTTAAAAAGAAAAGACAAAAAAAAAAAAAAAAATTCCGAGTAGGTGCATGGGGATGATGACTACTGGATAATAATAATAATAATAATACAATACTCTTTTAAAGTTTATTTTTAATACTATAAAAAAAGTTAATTAGAGACATTAGAAAATGTTTAATTAAATTAAAAATGTGATTATGATATCTATATAAATTTAATCTTTTATTAGTTAAATTTAATTAGGCCAAGATATTTCAATTTCGCAAACCTTAAATCAAGCTACTACCAAAAGTTCATAAACGGGTGTTTCATTTTTCATTTCTTAAGTTCATTTTAACGAGATCATCTTTGCCGTTGATTTTAAGTTTTTGGGTTCTAGTCTTTACTATGTGGGGTCGGTGGGTCCCGGGAGAATCTTAACTCTGTCACATCACTGCTACTTTTCATGCATATGGACTGTAACCAATAGCTTTCTGCTTGACTTGACTTGCCTATTCTTGTCGTTGATATTAAGTTTTTATTCTTAGTCTTTACCACGTGCATCAGTGGATATTAGACATTTTGTATTTATCTCTTTGAGACTGGACCGTGACAAATTACCTCACAGTAAGGTAATTTTATGGTGCCACTTTTCTCACGTATCGAATTCATTTCATTGGGTATTAGATATTCGCTGCAGATTTTTTTGCCTCGTTGACTGAGGTACTAGTTTAATTTAATCAACTTCAAAACCAACCAAAAGACCACAACCAAGTGGGACAATGTGCACGTGCCTTGTCACGCAACAGTCGAGATATGAGGAGATGTAGAGGGTGTTTGTCGAGACTAAAAAAGTATTTGTTTCGTGTTAAAAAAAAAAAAAGTATTTGTTTTAAAAGGTAATTTTTTGAAAAAAAATTTATTAGAGAAATTTAAAGATTGAGTTAAAAATAAAAAAGTGAATATTAATTTTTATTAAAATAAAATAATAAAATAATAAAATGATATTATTATTAAAAATTTTAAAAATTATAATTTTTAAAATAAAAATA